GCTTCAACCTCAAACTGTCTACTGTGGACCTCACCCCATTCCTAAGAGGTACGTCAAGGGAGCGTGCATAAGCGCACCAGTGTGCCTTCTGTCCCTGTCCTACCGTCCCCATTTATTTGTGTTCGTTTCTTTCGTTCATATCCACGTTTATAACGTATACCTGTTGTCTCATACATGTTTGGCAAACTAAATAAATACAATTAATTAATGCGATCTTGTACACCTTTGACGAACTAACCAATACAAATGAAAGTAACATCCTTCCGTCCTCCAGAAGCAGCATTTCATTCTTCTTCAACCTTGATCAGATTGCTTAGTGGGTCAATGGCTATTGGGCTCTTAGCAACATCGCAGGTAGTCCTTGACTTATGACATAATGGAGTCCAGCCCAATGCTCCCCTACCTACCAGTTTTTGCACCCTTCTTGGACTCAGCTAGTCATGCCAAAAGCTCTTCGAATCCCCCGGTTGCTTCTCCTGGTTTCAAGGTCACGGTGGCCCTTAATACCGAAAGGAGAAAGAAAAAAAAAGAACAAAGTCTTCTCAACTCGGGAAACATCCTTGGAATTTCTTCCGCGTGGGCCTGGATTCTGGATTCCGACCTGAATGTAGTCAAAACAAAATTGCAGCGAAGTCCAGGGGGAAAAGATCAAAACTTTCTCTTGGATGGCTTTCACAGCTACGGGGTGAAAAAAATAGTCTGGTGTGTTGAAAAAAAAGAAAAGAAAAACAGGACAAGGCTGAGCAGTACTAGAAAGAAGGGTAGGTTCATCTTCATGGACATGAGGAGGTCTTCCCGTCGGGCTGTTGATGTCCTAGAAAGCATGCTTGGCCAGATCAGCTGGGGCATCTGTTGATGTCCCCTTGGTTAGCATCAGGTACCATCCTGTATTCCTGTCTTTGATACTGGCGTCTACCATTTCTTCTACCAGAAGAGACTGGACAGTCTCTTGTCTGAGATGGTGTAGGTTCTCCTGCTTGAGCAGGGGGCTGGACTAGATGACCTCCAAGGTTCCTTCCAGCTCCATTCTATTCTATTCTACTCTACTCTACTCTATTCCTGTTGTTAGTTGTGAAGTCATGTCTGACCTATGGCGACCCCATGGACATTGTTCCTCCAGGCCTTCCTGTCCTCTACCTTCCTCCAGAGTCCATTTAAATTCACACTGACTGCTTCAGTGACTCCGTCCAGCCACCTCATTCTCTGCCGTCCCCTTCTTCTTCTTTTGCCCTCCATTGTTCCCAGCATGAGGCTCTTTTCCAGGGAGCCTTTCATTCTGATTAGGAGGCCAAAGGATTTGAGTTTCCCCTTCAGGATCTGGCCATCTAAAGAGCAATCAAGGTTGATCTCCTCTAGGACTGACCGGTTGGATCGCCTTGCAGTCCAAGGGACTCAATGCAGGAGTCTTCTCCAGCACCAGAATTCAAATTCTATTCTATTCTATTCTATTCTATTCTATTCTATTCTATTCTATTCTATTCTATTCTACTCTACTCTACTCTACTCTAC